AGTGTTTGTAGGGTTGCCAGGCATTTTTGCCTCCTGGCTCGGGGAAAAAAATCAGAAAATACCGGACATCTGAGCTGCCCAGTTCGCTGAATTTTTTTACTGGACAGGAGGCAAAAATACCGGACTGTCCGGGTGAATTCCGGACACCTGGCAACCCTATATGCAAATGAAGCGTGGCGATATTTCATGCCACGCTTCATTTGCATAAGCTTTTCTGGAAAAAGGCTACAGTGCAGCCATAGCCATAGTGATGGACTTGACATCTTCCAGTGCCTGGCCTAGCCCTTTGCTGCTCCCGCGCTCCTCTGCCTGAATGTATTCGTGCTGTGCCCATCTCCGGCACAGGCCGAAACCACGAGGGCCTATTTCAGAGTGACTGAGCAAGAGCAGTGCTTGGATTGCATTGGAATTTTCCCGGGTGCCACACCGCCGTCTTCAACCAGCAAAATGTTTTGCAGAGTGAGCAAGTCTTGGAATGAAGCAGCCCTGCCCGCGGCTGCTCTGCTGCTTCCATTTAATTTCCTCACCTTGCAGCCCCTTTACTTTTCAAAGATGCTGTAATAGAAGCTCAAGACTCAAATTACAAAACACTGTGGCTGTGTCTAGACTGGCAAGTTTTTCCGCAAAATCATCTGCTTTTGCGGAAAAACTTGCCAGCTGTCTACACTAGCCGCTTGAATTTCCGCAAAACCACTGATGATCTCATGTAAGATTGTCAGTGCTTTTGCGGAAATACTATGCTGCTCTCGTTCGGGCAAAAGTCTTTTTCCGAAAAGCTTTTGCACAAAAGGGCCAGTGTAGACAGCAGAGATTTGTTTTCCGCAAAATGGCAATCGGGGCTTTTTTGTGGAAAAGCACGTCTAGCTTGGCCACAGACGCTTTTCCGCAAAAAGTGCTTTTGCGGAAAAGCGTCCTGCCAATCTAGACACGCTTTTCCGAAAATGCTTTTAACGGAAAACTTTTCCGTTAAAAGCATTTCCGGAAAATCATGCCAGTGTAGACGTAGCCAGTAAGGCTATGTCTATACTGCAGGCTTTTTGCGCAAGAGCCCATCCACACTGCTGTGTGCTTTTGTGCAAGAGCGTCCGTGGCAGTGTGCGTGCTGTCTTGCACAAGAAAGCTCTGATGGCCATTTTAGCCATTTCTTGAGCAAGAAACCCCTGTTGCCCATCCATACTGCCTTCTTGCGCACGAGCTCTTGCACAAGAGGGCTTATGCCTCATGGGGAGAGGAATAATTCTTGCACAAGAACCCCTCTTCTGATGCTTTACTGTAAATGTACTTGCACAAGAACACACATGCAGTGTAGATGCTCCGCACATTTTTCCACAAGAACTTGTGCAAAAAGCTTGCAGTGTAGATGAGAGAATAAAAAAAGTGCTGCCATGGTTTACCAAGTAAAAGAAGCAGTGAGAGATAAAACAGCATAGTTTAAAAAGTGGAAGTTAAATCCTAGTGAGGAAAATAGAAAGGAGTATAAACTCTGTCAGATGAAGTGTAAGGAAGGCCACAAAGGAGTCTGAAGAACATCTAGCCCAAACTCAAATGTCTACACTGGCAGGTTCTTGCACAAGAACGTCCGTTCTTCCACAGAGCGTCCACACTGCCCACCCGCTCTTACGCAAGAAGATTTACAGTAAAGCGTGGTAAGAGAGGGCTTCTTGCGCAAGAGCTATGCTCTTTTCTGACACGAGGGCGGGATCTTATTACAAAAGATGGTGAAGTAATTTCACTAATAAAATAGAAATGCGTGACTATGATGACTTAACAAAATTCATGGAGTGGAAATTATTGTCCACCCTTGCCCTAAGAGGAGCAGAGGTCTGATCCAAGCCATAGATGAACCATATGGTAATACAGACCATAATGCAATTAAATGTTATATACTTGTGAAGAAGCCCACCACAGAAACAGCTCATTTAAGTCTTAAGTGGAGCACAGACACATCAAAAGCAGGAAGTCTGCCAAACAATTAGTGGGGCCATTGGAGAATCCAGCTGCTAAAGGAGCACTCAAGGATGATGAGGTAATTGCAGAGAAACTAAATGTATTTTTTGCATCCATCTTCACTGCTGAAGCTGTTGCAGACATTACTAAACCTGAGCCATTCTTTTTAGGTGACAAATCTGAGGAATTGTCCCAGATTGAGGTGCCATTAAAGGAGGTTTTGGAACAAATTGATAAACTAAACAGTAACACATCACCAGGACCAGATGGCATTTACTCAAGAGTTCTGAAAGAACTCAAATGTGAAATTGCACAACTACTAATTGTAGTTTGTAAGCCCTGTTTGTCAGAGACTGGGGCTGCGTTTAGACATCTTAGGCCCCAAAATCTTGCCACCTGTCTACACTGGCTGCGAGTATTTGCGCAAGAACACTGACTTTGTATTGTACAAAATCAGTGCTTCTTGCGCAAATACTCTGATGCTCCCGCTCAGGGATAAGCCCTCTTGCGCAAGTATTCTTGTGCAAGAGGGCCAGTGTAGACAGCCAAGTTAATTTCTTGCGCAAGAAAGCAAAAAATGTCTTGCACAAAAGCATCCGTGCCAGTGTAGACGCTCTCTTGCACAAATACTTTTAACGGAAAAACTTTTCTGTTAAAAGTATTTGGGCAAAATCTTGCCAGTCTAGACGCAGCCTGGGAGTGAGTGACAGGAGAGGGATCATTTCATTACCTGTTCTGTTCATTCCCTCTGGGGAACCTGGCATTGGCCACTGTCGGATGTTCTTGTGGTCTGTTTTGTCCTGGGCCTGTGGCTGCGGTCATAGAACTGTGCCCATGGCTCTGGGTGAAGTCATGATGCCCAAGCCTGTAAGTGGAGTATTGTACTAGACTGCATTTTAGGTACCCAGTCATCACTCTTCTACCTCACTTTTCACTTAAGTCTCTGCAACTAGTTCCTATCAGCAGTGAAATCTCCCTGTTCTAGAAGATGCAAGAGCAGGGCTGGGGTTCTCTGCTGCAACCAGAACAATATGGGACAAGGGTAAAGCCACACTTGGCAATTCTTAGGACTCCCCTGCTCCCCAAGTGCTTAATATACACTCTTCGCTCTCCCCTATGAGGTAACTGTCTCAGTAACGTAAGGCACGTAGTTGGAAGATAACTTGACCCATACAACACACTGAGGCTGGAAAAAACTATCTTCAGACTTCA